TATAAGGACCAAGGAGAGGGGGAGCATGGAGAGAAAGGGTGGGGGAAAAGAACCAAGGCTTTCCCCTAAAAGGTGTCCCCCGGATTTAGATATTTCTGGGGGACAACAGCTATACAGCTGTAAAGTATACTTTGTGAGGATCATGACCGGCCACCTTTCAAAGCTGTAGGTGGCCGGCCGGCCACCTCCCCTAGCCGGCCAGCTAGGGGTCAAAAAGGTCAAGTTGATTTTCTGGCCGGCCACCACAAAAAGGTGTCCTCCCAGGTACTCTCATCACAACCCTGTGGTTCGAATTTGGAAACTTTAAAACAGGAGAGAGAATAGGCCATTTTTAGGAGGGGTTCAAAAGGGTCAGGTGAAATTTCTGGCCGGCCATATGATATTAGGATCCTCCTATGTGTGTACAACACAAATATGTGGTTTGGGGTTGAAGAAAGTGGCCCCAAGGTGTTCAACATTGGCTCGGAAGTGAGAAAAACGGGCGCCGGAGGGCGAAAATGGAATATAACTGGTTGCCAAGATAATTGCTGGTCTTCCACCCTCCAGTGACCTTCCTGGTGATAAAACAGAGGTACCTACCGAAAATGAACGAAAATCGATGCAAAACGAATGCTCGGGGGCCAAAACACGCAGTTCGGGGTCCCGAGAAATGGGTTGTTAAGCACCGAAAGTGGCGTTCGGCCACGAAGTGGGTCTCTCAGACCTCAGTGTCCCTCAAAAGGGAGTAAATAAGATGTATGCCAAAATTTAGAGCAAACGGAGATGGTTAAGCGGTCCCGAACCGAGGCACGCGACCAACGGTCCCGAAAAACCGAAAACCGGGCTCCGAAATGGGCAAAATGGCCTACGGCCACCAAATGTAGCCCACGGCCACTGAGAGATGGTCTACGGGACCTCTCCCTCCCCTCAGGAAAAGAAACAGAGAAAACCGAGCCTAGTTCGCAAACCGAGGCAAAGCACAAAAGAGGGTTCGAAAGTCCGGAGGTAGGGTTCACAGCTGAGACTCTGAGACTTCTGAACGAGCATAGTATGCAGTATCACCGAGCGCTCAACTGGTGACGTCTAAGTCTTAAGGTCGGTCAAAAATGGGGTGTCTACAGTTGCCCCTCTTTGACAGAACTCGAAAGTCATAAGTGACGGGAGTGAATGTCAAAGCCCAGAGACGACCCATTTTTGACAAGGCCGAAGACCTAGACAAACATACAAAATAACACAGATGTGCCCGCAGGCATGCCCGCAGGCAGGGACAAAATGCAACCGAAAATGCACAGAGTCGGAGGTAACGCAATGATCATGCAAATGCAGCAAGCTGTAATGAAGCAAGTATTCGCAAATAGATGCAACAGTTTTAAGCAAGAATGCAAAGAAACAACTACATTTCATGCAGTTAAGAATGCAGAGAATTGTTCAATTCTCGTCGCGTCTCACACGGAGAAGATACGATACCTGCGCGATTCGTCTGGTCGCACCACCCTCAAATGAACCGTACATACAATATCGTGCCTGCAAAAGAGAGAAATTCAACAAGCACAATACGCTAACAACATATATTCAATGTGATTCTGAAGGTTTGACACACACAGTGCCGGCGAGTGAATGCATCGCGATGCGAGAAAGGAAAGTGCGTGACAACGCATGCTCAAGCACAGAGGTATGGCAATATCAAGAAATGTGCATAATAATGCAAGTATGCTCATGAGAATGCAAGTTATGTGCATGATAGTGCAAAACAAGCATAAATCATGGTGCCCGTTTGTTACGAAATGACGAGCAAGGAAACGCGTGTTTCGGCGAAGGCGACTTCGATGACGGCCTTCGATTCAATTTCTTGGAAAGATTACAACATATTCAAAAGGATACATCTTGATTTTGATGAATAATGATGAGACACATGTCAGAACTTGAAGCTGAAGTTCCGGCGGAGCAATTTCACGACCGGAAGTGTACTTTTCTTGAACTTTTTCAGGTCCCGGGAACTCCAATCTTCCTCAAAATTTGCAGGGAGCTAGGTGAGTCTGTGGGGGACATGGCCGGCTAGTTTCTTGGAGGGTGGGAGGTGGCCGGCTAGGTTTCCAAAAAGAGAATGGCTGGCCGGCCGGAAAAGGTGGCCGGCCGGCCATTTGCCCAAATCCGAGGATAAATTGGTCTTTTCACCTCCCTTTCTTTGTGCTCTCTCACCCAAACACTTTGAGCCTATAAATGCAGCCACGAAATCTTCTTCTCTTGCTTCCTACACCATTTTCTCCCTCAGATCCGAGTTCTATACGCGTTTTTCAAGGCCCCACGCAAGTTGTTTTCGCGAAAATATCCAGTTTCAAGCACTTTGAACTGATTAAATTTTGGTTTCGGGGCTTCTTTTCTCATTTTCGCCACTTGAGGTGAGTTTGTCTCAATATTTGGAAGATTTTCTCAGGAGTTGACTTTTGTTGACTTTTTCCATTTCCCGAGAGTTGACTTTTGTTGACTTTTTCCAATTTTGGCTCATTTTTGCTCATTTTTGCTCCTTTTGCAGATTTTCTGAAAATGGCGGGTAACTCTCCTCATGGTGGAGGTTTTCCAGGTGCTGGGGATGATTTTGATGCCATGACTTTGCCCCCGAGGGTCCGCCCCTTTATTCCCGGGAGGTATGCTCCGCCAGCACATGTCCTCCCTCGGGCCGTTTTTCGTCACTTCACCGATTTTGATGAGCGAGCACCTGGAGATCTACTCCTGCGGGAGCCAGAGCATCACCTCTCCTACGAGGCACGAGAGGTATTTACTTCATTTTCTGCATTTTTCGTGAATTTCGTGTTTTTGCCATGCTTGAACAAACAGTTTAGCTTATGACATAGTACTTTGTTTGCATCCTGAATATGTAGCTTAAGCACTTGAATTTTTGAACACTCGGCTCATTAATTGATTGCGAGCGCACAGCACACATTAGTTAAGAAATGAACACACGGCTCACACACTGATTTGTCGAACACACAGCCCGAATTAAATGGTGAACATATAGCACTCATTGACTTAGAGTAGAACACACAGCCCAAACTCCGATTTTCTGAACACGCAGCCCAGATTGATAGTGAACACGCAGCCCATACTAATTGAGAGTTGAACACGTAGCCCAAACTTTAATTTCCTGAACACACAGCCCAGATTGATAGTGAACACGCAACCCACACTAGTTGAAAGTTGAACACGCAACCCAAACTTTAATTTCCTAAACACGTAGCCCAGATTGATAGTGAACACGCATCCCATACTAGTTGAAAGTTGAACACGCAGCCCAAACTTTAATTTCCTGAAACACGCAGCCCAGATTAGAATAGTGAACACGCAGCCCACACTGATTGAAAGTTGAACACGCAGCCCAAACTAATTTCCTGAACACGCAGCCCAGATTGATAATGAACACGCAGCCCACACTAATTGAGAGTTGAACACGCAGCCCAAACTAATTTCCTGAACACGCAGCCCAGATTGATAATGAACACGCAGCCCACACTAATTGAGAGTTGAACACGCAGCCCAAACTAATTTCCTGAACACGCAGCCCAGATTGATAATGAACACGCAGCCCACACTAATTGAGAGTTGAACACGCAGCCCAAACTAATTTCCTGAACACGCAGCCCAGATTGATAATGAACACGCAGCCCACACTAATTGAGAGTTGAACACGCAGCCCAAACTAATTTCCTGAACACGCAGCCCAGATTGATAATGAACACGCAGCCCACACTAATTGAGAGTTGAACACGCAGCCCAAACTAATTTCCCTCTGTATCGGGCAAAGCAGTCCATGTTTGGCACTTCTTTCAAAAATCTGTTTTCTCAAAACGATTTGCCGGATTTGGACCTCATTCATTTTATTGGCACACAGCTCATTCATTTCATTGGCACACAGCTCATTCATTTTATACTGACACATGTATTCATTCTGAATGCAGGTTGGTTCTCGCAGTGTACGGGGGTATGGCTCCACCGCCGCGCGGGATTGGTATGTCGAGCTCCCGGAGGCTATCTGGGATTTAGTAGATCTGGCAGGGTTTGGGGCCTTCTGCATTGGATTGTCACGTTGTCCTGCCAGGAGGACACTGATGGCGGCCTTGGTGGAGAGATGGTGGGACACCACCAACTCCTTTCATTTCTCTGCCACTGGGGACATGACTATGACCCCTCTGGATTTTGCTGTGTTGACCGGCCTGGACATAGGAGGTTGGTCCATCCCTTATGACGAGGACATGGGCGAGTGGGAGGTCGCTTGGATATATCTACTGGGAGCTCGCCCGCCTGTCGACAGAGCTTCCGGGAGAGTTCGATATACTTGGTTCTCTTCTCACTTCCGGCGGGCGGAGATGGAGCCCGAGACTCCTGAGGAGACAGAGCAGTATGCCCGCGGTTTCCTTATGTTCCTCTTCGGGACTACTCTGTTTGCCGATACAAGGAACACGGTCGGGCTATATTTGTTGAGCGCTCTGGTTGACCTATCACAGGTCAGTTGATACGACTGCGGTGGCGCCGGCTTGGCTACCCTTTACTGCTATATGAGTGCCACCTCCCGCGGGCAGGGAGACTTACTTGGCAGTTATTAGAGAGCCTGAGAGGTACTTTTCTGTCCCCTTGATTTACATTTCTGCTCTTCATTACTTGTACATTGCACACACAGCGCACTTTACAGTCTGTATTCTGCCCTCAGCACTTTGTACTTACATTCTGCACTGCTTTTCTCAGTTATGGGTTTACGTATACTTCCCAGTATTAGCCCCAGAGTTGGAGGTGGCAGGCCCCCCCATGACCCCATATTCACTGGTGTTCGAGGGCCCACACCGGCCGAGACCCCGAGAGACTCTCCTTTATCTTCGGTAGTACTTTGACACTGTGCGGCCATCGGAGGTACTTCAGAACTCTCAGTCCCTTCCATTTTCATCTTTGATTTGCTACGCATATTCCCGATTTCTGATTGGTTTATGCACTTGTTATCCGCAGATCACATGACAGCCCTGGGCGCCCTTGGGTGATGGTCTCCGATTTCAGTATCCCGGAGGATCGGGCACCTCCCAGTACAGGCTCCTGCTCGAAGGACCTGTTGGTAGAGCATGGTTTCTGGGGGAACGCTTTCTGCGTCAGGTATGGGGGTATACTTCTCAGGACCCTCCCGCAGCACCCCCAGTCAGTATGCGGACTGCTGATAGGCTCTCCCACCAGGATGTAGTCGGTGCTATGCTGGGTAGTGATGCTTTGCTGCACCTCGAGGAGGGGGACTACGCCACTTACCGTCATACATATTTGATGCCTCCATTGACAGGAGTTCGCACCCCGATGACGAGGTCTGCTGGTACGTCATCCTCGGGCCAGGCCCGGGCTCGGGCTGCAGACGCCCCTTCTACTAGTAGGGCTGGTACATCGAGAGGTGGGGGTAGATCGGTTCCTCCGACTCCTCCGACTTATCCTCATCCTGGATGGCCGGACATGCCGTCCGAGTTGACGGGATGGCGTTTTGGGACTCCTTACCCGATTCCGCTAGAGCCTCCACTTCCTGACCATAGATATGTCAGGGATCCTGATTCACCACCGGTATGATTTATAGCTTTGATTTATCAAGTCGGGTACTTGGACATTCATTCCTTTACTGATAGTTTTGCATTTGCATCTGCAGCCTCCGGTTGAGTATGTGGACGAGATGCTCGGGGTGATGGCCGCACTTGAGGGCATGGTCCTTCGGAGAGAGACACACTTATCCGTTATGGGTGTGCAGGTACCGTTCATCTTTCTTGTATTTATCACACTTCTGATGACACACTGGTTTTGAACATTCTTCTGCATTGTAGAGCACATCCGACACACACCCCACTCACATACTGTACTCGTATCTGATTTTCATATTTGAACTTATGTATTGAACTTTTCATTTTCAGATGCCTCCTGTATATGCTCCGCTGCGGGCCGGGCCACCTGGGCCTCCTTGGGGAGCTGGGACATCTGGGCCTTTTTATGGAGCTGGGCCATCTGGGCCTTCTCAGGGAGCTGGGCCATCCAGGCCTTTCCGAGGAGCTTGAGGAGGGTCCTCCTGCAGACGCAGGGCACACGTTGTAGAGGCGGAGCCCGAGGAGGAGGAGGAGGAGGAGGAGGAGGTTACCGACCGCCAGTCAGAGACATCTGCTGAGGAGGGGGGCTCCGGTCTTGGTTCGGGGAACAGAGGCAAGGCTGAGGGGGATCCTGAGGATGATAGCTCCGACCCGGATGATGATGATGCTGCAGAGGTTGTCCCGCAGAAGAGGATGAGGAGTGCTTCTCAATCCCGCTCCCGAGGGCATTGATGCTGCTGTTTCCTGCTTTATTTTTCTTTTTGCTAGTAGTTTGTAGCACTTTGCACATTGTTAGGCAGTTTTATTTTTTGTAAAACTTGTACCTTTGTTCGTTGTAAAACATGATGGAATGAAACAGCTTTTGAAAAGCTGTTTGTATTTTAAACTTTTAGCATTGTATCGCATCATTTTATTTTGCACAAAAAAGAAATTGAATGGGAATGTGCATTGTGTAATCACCAAGTCAGGTAGTGAACCGACGCAACAAACTAAGCAACTGAACTTACTAAGATATAACAGAACCTTAGGAAGTTTACAACTCAATAAGCAAAATACAACAGTGTTGACAACGTAAATAAACAAGACTTAAACAAAGATTGTTTAAACAGAGAGCAATGACTCGAAAACACGAAGCACGTCCGCTTGACAAACAACTCGATAAGCAAAACAACAACTCGATAATCAAAACAACAACTCGATAAACAAAACTCAGCAACAACAAAGTGTACTTCGGACGATCTGGGCACCGGAACGCATCCGAAACAGAGGGAAATGAAGGCCTTTGACTCTGCCGTTGCATGGAAATGCTTGAAACTTTCCCTCGAAGGGTAAAACAGGGCCAAGGAGATACACTGGAGCATTGCCGGCCACCTTTGGGAGCCGGCCGGCCAATTTTATGGAGAGGGGGAGCCGGCCGGCCAGTTTTGTAAAAAGCAAATGGCCGGCCTGCCAGAAAAGATGGCCGGCTGGCCACTTATCCCTGCAGTCGCCCAATTTTTGACACGTGTCCTCCTGAATAGTGTTTTTCCGTCTATAAACGCCTCAACTTCGGGAACATTCATTTCATCTTAGTTTTACACAAAGATGGAGGCGTTTCTCGCAGAAAATCTCACATCTTGGATCTCTTCTCTAGATGGCTCGGAAAAGCTGAACTTCCGGGGTTTCGGTTTGAATGCACTATTCACGCTGAGCCGTACTCCACTACAGCTCCCTTTTCTCCATGCCGCGGCAAGGTTCTGGAACCCAGTGACGCACGTTTTTAGCTTCGGCGGCCAAGAGGTATGTCCCACTTTCGAAGATTTTCAGGTTTTGATGGAGTCTGAATGCTCTGAAGTGATCTTGCCCCAGCTCCGTTTTGGCCATGCCCAGGCTTTAGGGCGGATGTGTGGGCTCACGGCGCATGATGCTCGATCTCTGATCTGCAGTGGGGAACTGGATATCCTCGGCTTGATCCATCGCTTTTCCAACGCCGGTGACTGCAGCAACCATTATTGGCAGGGTTTCCGGCAACACGCCCTCTGCTTGTGTTTGTTGTCTCAGTTTCTGCTTTCCTCGGGCTTCGGCGGAGCTAGCATCCGTCTGATTGAAGTTGCCCAAGGCTTGAGAGAAGGAAAAAGCTGTATCGCCATGACCTTGGCTGAGACCGATGGGCTTGTTGATGTCTGATCTATCCGGGAGACGACTAGGGTGCTGGGAGTCCACTGCTCTGCAGGTTTGCTTTCCCACCCAACCTTACATATATATTTGCTCACATCACTCGACCCTCAGGCTCGGTTTTTCTCACAAAACCCTTGTCTTACTTTTTCTCTCATCATTACACTCTCTCTTTCTTTATTCTCTCATTTTTATCCCTCCCCAGTATGGTTTATGGACAAGTCAGGTGTGGACTCTTGCCGGCCTATTCAGCTCGAGGCTACTTCTTTCGGCAGCGCCTAGTCATGCTCTTGATGAAAGAGGTGGTTTGACTGGATGTGCAATCTGTCCGCAATCCGTATTGCTTGGCGTTGCCTTGGCTCAACTCCGGCCAATGAGCTATAGTATATCCCGAGCGATGGTGATCCATATTGATTGGTCTAAACCCACTGCGTATTCTAATTTTCCGTTCCGGTTCCTGCCGCCAGTATTGGTCAGATCAAATCTGCCACCGGAGGGGATTAGAGTACCCAGCTGCTTTCTCGGATCCGAGGATGCATTGCTTGCCACGATATGCCACGCATGGAGGACTAAGAGAGCTCCTGGCTCCGGGCTACTCACTTTCAGTTGCACTTTGTCTGGACGAGTGTTTGGATTGGCTCAACGAAGGAAGGGCACAGGTTGGGCCTAGCTTGGCATCAGATGCTTCGATCTATGCTTGGGAGGGAGGCGCAGAGATACTGACTCGGACTATGCCCCCAAAATTATTGCTTATGTAGTCATTTTCAAGTTTTCTTTTATGAATAGTAATAAAATTCCATCAACTTGTAAATGCAGGAGAGAGAAATCTGTTTTGAAACTGAAATTGAAGGTATGTAGTACTGAAAATTTCACGGTTTGGTCCAAAAATGGTCTTAGTCTGTAAAAAAGATTTTTGACACTAAAGTCGACATTTACTAAAACTTTTCAAAATATTTTCGACTGATGGATCAGAACTGGAACACGCGCAAGATCTGCCACTGAGAATGCGACAACCCCACGATCCCTGCAACTGGAAAGTTGCCCACAGTCTGCCTAGTCAGGTGAGAACAATGCGGGCACTGCATGGCAACGGAAAGTTGCCCCTAGTTCTGAGTAACTTTGCACCGTCGCGGCAACGGAAAGTGTGCCCTAGTCTGAAAATAGCAACGTGTACCGGCACGATCGCTGATAAATCTGATGGATAAAGATGACTGAGATGATCAAAATGAAAGAGGACAGAGTTGATCGGGGAAAGTTTATGCTGAACTTCAAGTGAAGTTGCCTACGTATCCCAAAGATGGGAATCAAGCCTTACGTAGTTCAGGCGAGCGTTTCACTCGAGTATTTTCACTCGTCCTTTTTGCGTCCTCTAACTTTTGCCAAAGG